GTTGGTGGATGTGGAAAAAGTAATGTAAATGCAGCAGTCACTCCGAGAAAACAGCTTATTTCACAAGTAACACCAGAGTCAGTACGCCCATTTCCAAAAGCAGACCCCCGAAAGGCAACGCGACGAGGAAGGAAACCTGGAAAAAGTAGAATTTTAACTGATACACCTGAAAAAAACGAAATAAAGAATGAAGCAATAAGAAAGGCAGAAAATAAAAGAAAAATTGAAGAAAAGAACAAAAATAAGAAAAATAACATACCGAAAAAACCAAAAAGTTCCTCTGAAGTGCAGGCAAAGGCTGGCCCTAGCCAGATAAAAATTCTTAAAGACGAGCTGTATGCCATGTGTATGGGATGTAGAAGATTGGCAAATGTTAACAAAATGCTCAATTGTTCTCTATGTGATTTAAAATATCACAAGAAATGTGTATCAAAGGCACACAAAGATAATTTAGAATCAGATGATGAATCTGGCTTTCTATGTGAGAAGTGTTTTATATTAGACGATGGTGATTCAGATGCCACTGATGATTCTGAATTAGAACTATATGAAAAGTATTGCGATGCCAAAAAAAACAATAATTATTGATTATTTGATGTTAAAGTTGCTTTATAAGAGAAACTCTGATTATTTTGTTGATTTTTAAATAATTATTACTAAGGAAAAGTGATATGTCCATAGGTACATTGCTGTCCATAGGTACAAGTACAGCTGTCCACAGGTACAATAATAACATGTACCTGTGGACAAATTTAGTATTTTTAAAAAATGTTATTTATTATAATAATTATAGTTAGTAAAAAACTTAAGACTGCTAATTCTTAAGCATTAACTATTCCTGTAACAACATTTGTGATAATTTACGGCTAATAAATGGAAATTAAGTAATTAAACCTTATTTTAGTTCAAAATTCGGAAAATGTCCATAGGTAAAACACTTTCCCCTAATTATTATCAGACTTTATACTTAAAGAAGTCTAATATAACTGCAAAATGTAAAGAAACTTGTGCTATTGACGAGCACATTACCAATACTGTTAACGAATTTATCCATGGGGTTATAAATATTGACTTATGTATCGAACTTTTGATCTTATGATTTTTTATTTAATTTAGCATAGTCTGTTTATTTTAACGTTTGCTATAAAAATCATTTATAACAAACCATGATCTGTGATTTTATAGTCTGTGATTAGTTTTATTAGTAGGTCGTCAGTAATAACTTAGCCAATTGATGAATCTACTTGTTGATAGCGTTTAGCGTTTTTTGTAAAAATCATTTACAACCATATCTGATCTGTGATTTTATAGTTTCTAAGACTCTTTCTATGGTTCCTAAGATTGATTTTATTAGTGAGCAATAATAAGTCAGTTTGTTGTCAATTACTATGTTTAGCTTTACTATTTTATATTTACCAATATTCAGTACGGTTTAAATTATTTATATTATGAGATTTATCGAAAATCTCCTCACATATAATTTTGTATACGAGTATGTGAGGGGAGTGTTTTAGATAAACACCAGATGACATCAAACACACATATGTCAACCTCAATAAACTCAGTAGTCACATATCAGCTCTCAACATCTGCAACTTCTTAAGCTCAGTATGCCCCTGGTAAGTACTTTTTTATTTTACCCATCAAGGTATAGGCATCGACAATATAAGGTTAAATACGCTTCGATATCTGTAGAATTGGATACATTTTTAACATTAGCTGCATGGATTTTCTGTCAAAGAAAGATCGACCCAGAGATTTCCTACATTATTTTTTTATTTATATAAAAGATCGTAATACATATTTTGACAATAAAGTTTATGTTCTCTCTTATGAAAGAACATTGATCTAATAATTATGCATATAAAGGTGGCTGACTTAAATACAAGTCAAAGCTGATATATGTAGCAAAATAATGATTTCTCGAAGGAATTTACTATTTTACATGTTAACAGGTACAGGTCGAAAATAACCTCCCAAGAAAACAAACGCTGATAGCAAATTAATAAATAAGTTTAGGCAGAAGTTGGTCAAAATGTCCATTAAATGTAAAAATGTCAATAAAAAGATACAAGCTGCCAAGAAAATATCAATGAACAAAGCGTTTTTGAAAATAATTGAAAAGTTGCCTGAAGAAGTACACACTTTTACAAAAATGCAGCTAAAAAATACGCAGATGTTACAGTTACAGTGAAAAAGTAATGGCATTAACCATTATAAAGCTAAGTTCAAAGGCATACAGATTATTAAAATAAATGTTCGTGTTACCATCGAAACGTTGTGTGCAATTGATGCTGAGTACACTCAGCTCAGAACCTGGTGTTAATAAAAATATATTAGCTGATTTAAAGGACACTGCAAAAACTGATGAAAAAATCACGTTAATATATTATTTGACGAGGTGTCACTGGCACTTAGACTTGACAAATAGTTGGATTTGAAGACTTTGGGCACCAAAGAAAGAAGACTCTGGCTGACCACGCGCTTATGTTCATGATTAAAGGCATTAAAAGTAAAAGTAAACAGCCTATTTGTTTTACCTTTTTTAAAGGTACGACAAAAGCAAATTAAATAAAAATAATTATAAAAGAAATCAAAGCCACTGGGCTAAAAGTAGTGGCTACTATCTGTGACCGAACCACTACTAATGTGCGAGTGATGCAGGAGCTGCAGAAAGAAACTAAAGAAATATATCCAAGACGAGGAGAGTCATAGAACTCAAATGCTATAGAGGTAGACGCCTGTAAAATATTTCCTCTTTTCGCCTCTTCCTCCGCACCTGCTCAAAGGAGTAAAAAACAATTTATTAACCAAAAATGCAATATTCATACAAAATGGTAAAACAAAATGGGCTAAGTGAGAACATGTTATTAGAAAAAGATGATGGAGATGATGAAATAAGATTAGTCAATAAATTAACTTGAAAGTAAAATACCTAAAATGAAAGTAAAGTACGCAGCGCAAGTATTCAGCCAGAGGCAGGGATCGATATCGATAAATGAAAAATACCGATATTTTCAAGAAGATATCATCTTTGCAACCGATATTTTATGTTAATATCGATATCCATATCGAATTTAATAAATACCGCTATTAAATTATCGATAATTATATCGTTATTCTATATCGATACCAGTCGCGAGAGGGAGACGATGATGCGACATTAGTTGCTCTCACTCGCACAGCCGCAACGCCGAGCGGCAACATTGTAACGAATAGACCAGACCCTGTGTAACAGTGGAAAGTAGCTTAGTGCAACGAGTTGCGTCTTGTTGTCGAATGCGCGCGTATCTACTTGTTGTTATTGCTGTTGTTTTGACAAATGTTATTTACGTAATCGTGATAAATAATGGGGCGTAAAAAGCAAAATCATGTATATAAATACTTTAATGTTAATAAGACCACATTAAAATCGAAATGTGTGGTGTGCAATAAGGATTTAAATGTAAGTAATTTATTTATATATACGATTATACGTACCTACCTATTTTCTTGGTTTTACTAGGACGATACTGATATCATTTTCGACTTATTATTACGCACTAACCATAGTGGTGGTTTATCTGCCTACTTCTTACTTCTTAGTTATTTACCTATTTGGTAGTAAGTGTGATTTTTTAGATTGAATAGAAATAGTTTGATATAAAAAGCACTTACTTACCTAACTACCTACCTAGGTACTCAGAAATAAGTTTGAACGATCACTTTTTATTAGGTAATTACCTACTACGGATATTTATAAATGTAGTTATTTACCCCATTTGATGACAATAGTATAAGGCGCTGTCCTATTGAGATCGCTCGTACGATGGCACGATGCGATTGCATTCTTCGATGACATCGTGTGTCCTATTTTGAAGCGATGCGATCATGCGTACTCGACATGTCTCTTATCATCAAAGATGCACAGTTTTTGGTGTCTGACAATATTGTCAAGGAATAGGTATTCCTTAAAGTGTAGATAGCTAAAAAAAAGAAAACACAACATTATTTTGGTCGGACGCACTCATCGCATGAGCGATCTCAATAGAAGAGCGCCTAAATGTAGGTATGTAAGTATACATGTTGACTGGTACATCATATTTATGTATATTTGTTTATCTGTCACTGTATAGGTGCTTACACTCCTCGTTCATTTCATTTGTCGATAATAACAAAGGAGATACCTACCTATGTAAGTATTGTTATTATGATAGCGTTATGCGTGCAGCATGCTGTTTTACTGAATTTGACGTCACGGAAATATCACCTGGCGGCTTTTAGGCCAGGTAGATTTACGAAATGTAACATGCAATGTTACACGTAAGGAAAGGATTTGCCGTCCACATTGTACCAATGTAACAGAATCCCCATATTGTGGGCGCGCTCGAACCGTGCACACTACGCGCGTGAACAGAGCTTTTCAAGCCGTGCGCTCCGCGATCTGTCTTTTGTCGGTTTTTCGCCGAATACAAAGGGGCGCGCAGTGTGCATGGAGCCTCCAGCGGGATCTCAGGGTGAAATGGCGTCAGCGACTATCGCAACCCTGTGCTGGGCACGCCGTAATTTCGGCGGTAAGTCCCCTCTTTGAGGCGTATCTGGAAAGACCTCACGGCGTTCTTACCTTCCGCATGACGCAGGTTCTCACCGGACACAGCAAGTTTGGGAGGTACCTGCTCCGAATTCAAGCGGAGGTGACGTCCGGGTGTCGGCACTGCGCTGACCACCCGGAGGACACGGTGGAGCACACTGTGGAGGTGTGTCCCGCTTGGGACGAGCATCGTCGTGTCCTCGTGGGGGCTATTGGCGGCGGCGATCTCTCGCGCCGAGCTCTGTTTCAGGCCATGGTCCGGAGCGAGGAGGGGTGGCAGGCGGTCGCCTCTTCCTGCGAAGCAGTAATGCTAGCAAAGGAGGAGGCCGACCGCCTAAGGCAATGGCGTTTGCGTCTCAAACGCGACCGTCGCCGGGATCCCGATCCCGATTTCCGGCCACCGTAGACATGGGCTTGCGGACGGTGAACTATGGGCAGCTCGCTGTCCGACCGTCCGGACGAAGCCCGAATCGTATACGGCGCGTTTTATTTCCGCGCGTCTCAAGAAGTAGTCAGCAATCCGTAGGGGCCCAATAGGGTCGAAGCCTGCCGGGGCCAGAAGTTGATTCTGAAAAGGAAACGAGGTCCCGGTGCTAAAGGCAAAGAAGAAACAGGGTAGGTTTTTTAGTCAGTAAGAGTCTGACACTCGCTTACCGCTTCGCCCATGGACGGGACCCGTCATATCGATGATTTTCACCTACCATAAAAAAAAGTGTGCATGGAGCGCATAACACTTATGACTGAAACACCCAACTCGTCGTGTGAAGTAAATTTTATTTGAATAATACGTATTTTAAATGCATTATGGGGTTTCACCTTAAAGCTTTTGCAAGCAGCCTGTAAATTACTGTATTAAATATTATAGGTACTTTTATTTTTATTTATTTTCAGAGTATTAACGGCTCTAATCTTATGAAGCATCTTAAAATACATAAAACAGAATTTGAAGAAGTGGCGACACTCAATATAAACCAAAAGGAAGCTTTCCAAAAGTCACATAATTCGGAAATAGTTATCAAAGAATGTACTAGTCTGGTAACTATACATGGTCGTCCTTTAGCTCTTTTGGATGACGAAGCATTTCAAAATATTTTGGCTTTGATACCCGACTGCAATGTAAAAATAGGATCTAGAAAAATTAGAGACTGTTTAATCGAAACCGCTGGAATGTTACGAATTGAAATGGCGAAAGAGCTTCAAGAAAAATTGATTTGCATAAAAGTTGATATAGCATCATTATCATTGAGGAGTTTCATGGGAATAAACGCCCAGTACCTAGAACAGGGAAATATAGTATTAAAAAACTTAGCGATGATTGAACTATTGGATAGGCATACCTCAGAGTATCTGAAAGAACAGGTACTTTTTGTTTTGCAAAGGTTTCGTATTGGTCTGGATAATGTTTATAGTTTTACCACAGATAACGGAGCAAATATGCTCAAAATGAGCAGGTTATTGAATGAAAGAAGCAATGCTCAAAATCATGACGTTCCTCACGTTCACGCTAGTGTCAGCATAGATTATCCCAGCGTCGATGAAGATGGCGTCATGCATGAGCAAAGCGCAAACCATATGGAAGATGTAGAAAATATCTCCATTGACTCAGATTCTGACTTGGATTACGACGCTGATACTGAGTTCGATACTAACAGAGAAGACCATTTCACAGAAACTCTTACTTCGTCATTGACTATGCAATTCCATGAAAATACGACCCAGCAAAGAAATATTGCTGTTGTTAGATGCGCTGCACATACATTGCAGTTGGCCGTTTTAGAAGCTTGTAACAACACTGAAATTAAGGAAGCCATTAGTGATGCGCGAAAAATTGCTAAACTATTGCGAACTCAAAAGTATGCGGCTGAAATTATCAAAACTGGCAAAAATCAAGCTATTCTAGATTATCCTACAAGGTGGAACTCGACAGTAGAAATGATACAGAGATTAATAGATCTGAAAGAAATTAGCAACAACTCTAATGATCCTAATTGTTTTTTAACAGAAGCTACCTGGAATAAATTACAAGATTACTTGACTTCTCTATTGCCGGCTAAAGAGTTATCAAAAAATTTACAATACGAGCAACTTACAATGGGAGACTTTTATTTGCAGTGGCTGTTATGTAAAATTAAATTAAAAACAGTTAACACAACTCTAAGCAATTTGTTAATAACTTGTATGGAAAGACGGGAACAAACATTATTTAACAACGATGCATTTTTATGTGCTATTTTTTTCGACGGAAGAGTTAATTCAACACTGTCTGAAGAGCAACGATCAGCATCAGCACTTGCAATATTTGGACAGTAATAAAGAAAACTGTTCCTCCACAAATTCTACGTTTATATCTCACGGATCTCACACGAATACAGACAATGCAAGAGTTGAACTAGAAGATTTTCTTAGTGTTAAATATGTAGAGGCTCAAAGTGACATACATACTCTTATAAGAAGAGGAAGTAATACAAAATCAACTCTTTTACCCCCTAGAAGACATATTATCATACCTGAGTCGGATTCTGATTTTTCTGAAGAAGATGACGTGCCTTTGAGTTGTTTACAGTCTGCATCTACCTCTAAATCCAAAGGAAAAGCTACAAAAACAAAGGTCAACTGGAAAAACGGAAAAATGCCAGCTTACGATGCCAATAATTTTAAATTTACGGGTAACACAGATTTACCTGACAGTATAAAAAAACTGAGTTCCCCTGTAGAAGTCTTCGAGTTTTTGTTTACAGCTGATATGATTAACTTTATAACTGAGCAATCTAACCTCAAATCTATTCAAGATAATATTAACAAACCAGCAATGATTACGAAAGAAGAAATAGAAAAGTTTATTGGTATCATCATTTTTATGTCTTGTGTGAAGTTACCGTCAACTAAGAAGTATTGGTCAAAAGAAGTAGGGCAGTCGCAGGTTTATGAAATAATGACGTGTAACAGATTCGAATCTATCAAAAGATTTTTACATTTTAATAATAATGAAACTTTTGTACCTCTTGGACAAGATGGTCATGATAAATTGTTTAAAATTCGGCCTTTGCTGGACATGATTCGAGCGCGTTTGATGCTAGTCCCAAAAGAAGAGTATTTAGCCGTTGACGAGCAAATAATTCCTACCAAGTGTCGTCATGAATTGAAGCAGTATAACCCAGCTAAACCTCACAAATGGGGTTACAAAAACCTAGTTCTGAGCGGGGTTAGCGGCTTTAGTTATGATTTCGATATCTTTGCTGGAGATCAAAGCAATTCCTACCCTTCAGATGCGCCAGATCTTGGTGTAAGCTCAAATGTGGTAACTCGGTTGACATCTACAGTTCCACGACATAAGAATTACAAGATTTGTTTCGATAACTGGTTCAATAGCCCAAATCTTCAAGTATATCTTTTCCAGAACGGTTTGCTACCCTTAGGAACCGTGCGACTCAATCGTGTGCCAAACTCAAATATGCCCACAGTAAAGGAACTCAAGAAGCGTGGTCGTGGAAGCATGGCAGAAAAGGTAGCAGTCATAAATAAAGTTAAGTTAAGTCTGGTTTCCTGGTTCGACAACAAGAACGTCAATCTTCTTTCTGCTTACGTCGGAAGCGCGCCAACCACAACAAAACGGCGTTATGCTCGACAGGAAAAAAAATATATTGATATTCCTTCTCCCCAAGCCGTCGATATTTATAATAAACATATGGGAGGAGTCGATTTACTTGACTCCATTCTGGGCTATTACAGAATCCATTTGCGGTCTCGTCAGTGGTACAAAAGGATTTTTTTTCACATGCTGGACATGACCATTGTGAACTCTTGGTTGTTGTGGCGCCGAATAAATACAGACTCATCCTATATGCCTCTATTTGATTTTAAGCTAGCGATTTCAGAACACATGCGAAAGACAGGAAAAGCTCTTATGGTCAAAAAACGTGGCCGTCCCTCCAGCATCTTGGGAACTCCGACATCAAGCCGGGGTGGTACTCCCCTCAATGTCTCGCCAAGTAACTCGCCAGTACCTGCGAAAAAGCCACGAAAAACTCCTGCCAGACATCAGGATCTTCCGTTGGATTCTGTACGCTCTGATGGGATTAGCCATTACCCAATTTGGAAAAAAAATACCCGTCAACTATGCCAATATTGTTCCAAATTTCGTTCCTTCACATTATGTGAAAAATGTAATGTGTACTTATGTTACAACGACAAACGAAACTGTTATAAAGAATTTCATGTAGCATAAGCATATTTTTCCCCAACTGCATACGAAGCCATATATGACCGACCAACCATTGGTCAGACTGCATACGAAGCCATATATGGCGTCATTAAAAACCTTTTATTATATAAGCAAATAATTTTTTTTCTCACTTTGGTCTCATTATGTAAGGTAAAATAAAGACATATGTGCAAAAAAAAATTTTTTTATCTCCTTCATAATTCATGCAATAAGGGGTTAAAAGCTCAGTGTCAAATTTAACTAAACATTTAAAAAATAAGCATCCTTTAATTAATTTAACAAGAAGAAATGTTGTTGCTACCGTTCCCATTCACGAGCCGACACCAGGTAACCAGAATCCAGAATCAAATGTAATTCCTTCAACCTCTGCACCCTCTACTTCGGGTACAGCGCCTTCAGAAAATACCAACTTGGTGCGCGTGGTACAGTCAGGTTCGAAAAATATTGCCTCATATATTTATAAAAGGAATGCTGATAAGTGCAAATCCGATATTGATCAGCTTATTATGGATCTATTTATAATGGACTACCAACCTTTTCGGATCGTAGAGGATAAAGGATTTCGGAAATTATTACAATCTGCATTCCCTTTTTATGTAATTCCGACAAGAAAATATTTTGCAAATAATTTATTGCCCAGTGGGTACGAAGCTTTACGGACCACAAAAATGCAAGAAGTGGAAAGTGAAGTCGAGTCAATATGCCTAACAGCCGATGTATGGACCTCTAGTACTAATGATTTGTACATGGCGATTACTGGGCATTATATAGAAAAAAATGAATGCGTTTTAAAATCTCTTTTTTTAGAATGTGTTCTTTTAGAGACCTCACACACTGACGTAAATTTGGCCTCGGAAATGTTAAGGGTCACAGACGAGTGGAAAGTGACTCAAAAAATTCTTTTGGCTGTAACCGACAATGGTGCCAACATAAAAAAAGCTGTCGAGAAAGATTTAGGCTGGAAGCATTTTGGCTACTATGCTCACACGCTGAATTTAGCAGTTCAAGAATCAATTCAAAGGTCAGAAGAAGTAAATGCCGTAATTAACAAAGTTAAAACGTGTGTTGGTTATTTTTAAAAGGTCTGCTCAAGCTTGGGAGAAACTTAAAAAATTCCAAGTTCAAGCCGGTAAAACTGTAAAAAGGCCTTTGCAAAATGTGAGTACAAGATGGAATTCCACCTATTATATGTTGCAGAGGTTTCTTGAAATCAGAGAAGAGGTTAATAGTTCGTTATCTAACTTAAATGCTACTGCCATGTCACTAACTGTAGTAGACTGGGAACTATGCGAGGGTGTCTGTAAATTATTAAAACCATGCGAAGAAGTAACAAAAGAAGTGTGCGGACAAAAATATGTAACAGGCAGCATTATTATACAGGACTAATATCATCAGTGGAACTCATAGAAACTTATAATCATCCTATAGCCGTGCAAATGTTGCAACAAGATTTAATAGGTGCCTTAAAAAACAGATTCTCCAATTTAGATCGAAGTCGAACTTTCACACTCTGCATGTTCTTAGATCCTAGATTCAAGCTTTATTTTGAAGACCAGCATGTAGCTGAAAGTACCAAACAGCACGTAATACAACTAGTTGCGTCTCTAATCAATAAAGCCGACCAAGATTAGACTCGCCCAGAGGAAACTGACCAAGTAACAGATCCCTCCGAAACTGCTACTCAAAGCACTCTATGGCGGCACTACACAGAAAAAATGAAAAATATTCAACCAAAAGGAACTGCGCAGTCAAGGGCCATAGTGGAAGTGCAGAGGTATTTGGAAGAGAAACTTGTGATGCCAGGTGAAAAGGTTTCACCGCTTGACTGGTGGAAACAGCGCAAAGCAAGCTATCCGAATCTTTATCATCTAGCTGTCACTAAACTTAAAGCAATGGCAACGAGTGTTCCTTGTGAACGGCTATTTTCGGCATGTGGAATCCTGCTAAACGATAGGAGAACTCGGCTTGGGTACCGTAAAGTACAACAGTTGATGTTTTTAAATCAGAATAATTGAAGTTTTATACAAAAAAAAGAATAAAAGAAAATAATAAAAAAATAAATAAAAAAAACAAAAATACAAAAAGAAAAAAAAATACAAAAAATAAAATAAAATGAAAAGTCGATTTTGTAAATAGTAAATGAATAGTTGATTTTGTTAATATTAAATAAATAGTCGATTTTGTAAATAGAAAATAAATATGTAGTCGATTTTGTAAATAGTAAATGAATTAAAATCTTTTAAATACGCCAGCTTACGATTTTTTCAATTATATACATACAATTAGATAACATTACATTTAGGTTTTATATAAATAACACATATTTTATTAGATTATAATCCTTACTAATATTATAAATCTGAAAGTGAGTTTGTTTGTTTGTTTGTTTGTTCCACCATCACGCCGTAACTACTCAACCGATTGCTTTGAATTTTTGCAGACGTAAAGTTAGAAGTCCGGATTAAATAATAGGGTACTTTTTAACCCAAAAAAAATTGATATTTCTGAGGAAAAACAAAAGTATTGGTATAGATGGCGCTGTGTGTATTCGTATAGATGGCGCTGTATGCCATTTAAAACAATTCAAGGAACGAATTACCTACTAATTGGAAATTTCACACAATCTACACTTATTCGGTGCACTTTTCGACTCATTTATTTGCTGTTTTATATGGTAACGTTGTGTTTTTTAAGTAATTTTCGCTTTTAAATTTTGGTTCCTACCATTTTATATTGAATTGTGTATTTTATAGATTTTAGGTTGTAAAAGGTACACGAAGTTGGTGTCTATATAGTAGTTACGCTACTTGGCGATAGATGGCGCTATCTACACTTATTCGGTGCACTTTTCGACTTATTTATTTGCTGTTTCATATGGTAACGTTGTGTTTTTTAAGTATTTTTCGCTTTTAAATTTTGGTTCCTACCATTTTACATTGAATTGTGTGTTTGATAAATTTTAGGTTGTTAAAGATACACGAAATTGGTGTCTATGAAGTAGTTACGCTACTTGGCGATAGATGGCGCTATCTACAATTATTCGGTGCACTTTTCTACTCATTTATTTGCTGTTTTATATGTCATTTTAAAAACGTGGTAACGTTGTGTTTTTAAGTATTTTTCGTTTTTAAATTTTGGTTCCTACCATTTTACATCGAATTGTGTATTTTATACATTTTAGGTTGTTAAAGGTACACGAAATTGGTGTCTATGTAGTAGTTACGCTACTTGGCGATAGATGGAGCTGAGTGTTTATAAAATGGGGTAGCGTTGTTTTTTAAATATTTTTCGCTTTAAAATTTTGGTTCTAACCATTTTACATTAAATTGCGTATTTTAGAGATTTTAGGTTGTTAAAGGTACACGAAATCAGTGGCTACAATACTCAACAATTAGCAATTATATTGTACGCTGTTGTTTCAACGCTCGATAGATGGCGTTAGGATCGAGTTAGATGGCGCTATGGTTTCGTTACCGGCGAAAGTATAGGTTCCGAGCTTCCATAGCAAACGTATTCCGGTGTACGCATCTACAACCCTGATTGATTAGTATTCGTTCGCTCTGTAGGTTTGAATATTCAAGTGTTGTTTTTCTAGGTATAGATATTATTCATTATTGTATAAAGTAGTTTTTTTTTGTCGTTTTTAGTCGTTTTTTTCATTGTACGTAGATTTTAGGTTAGGTTAGATTAGTGAAGTGGTTTATTTCTAATTCTAAGTAGATGTCTAAAGTAGTTAGGTTTTCGATAGGGAATTACGTCACTTTGTTTGTCGTTTAGATTGTTATAGTTTACTTTTTATTTTGTATTTTATTTTTTAGGTTAGTTTTAGTTAGTATTTTTAATTTTTTAATTTTTTAATTTACCCATATTTTTAAAATGCCTTCCAAACGCAAATCTAATTTGTCGAGCACCTCATCTAAAGCTCGGGCAATGAAAATTGCCCGATCTCAAGAATCATCTCTCCATGCTGAATTAAGAAGGTGCGCTCAAGCAGAGCGTCAGGCTGCTTCGAGAGCGGCTGAGCTACCATCTCAGCGCCAGCAAAGACTTGAGAAGCAAGCCACTCGCCAAGCTTCTTTGAGGGCTTCTGAGAATGATATTCGTACTCAAGTCCGTATATCACAACAGGCTCAACGTCAGACAGCACTAAGGGCGTTAGAGTCCCCTCTTCAAACGCAGCTACGTTTAGAGGAGCAGGCTGAAAGACAAGCTGTTTTGAGAGCTAATGAAACACCTCTTCAAACGCAACAACGTTTAGAGGAGCAAGCTGAGCGACAGGCAGCTTCTAGAATGGCGGAAACTCCAGAAGAGTCTCTGGAGAGAAGAACCGCGCATGCAGAAATGCAAGCTGAACGGCGTCGAGCTTTCATGAGAACAGTTGGTCTGTGTTTAATAATACTGCATTCGAATACGATCCTTTGATCGATTACAAAAACCATTCCTTGGTCGTCATCGGGTTAATGAATAAAAAGTGTAGGTTTTGTGATGCTCTTAAATGGAAGGACGAAACGGCAGGTCTATGTTGCTTCAATGGGAAAATACGTATTCCTACATTGGATGCACCAGAAGAACCCCTCAAAACTCTTCTTTTATTTGACTCTGATGAATCACGGCGCTTTTTAAATAAGATTCGAAAATATAATTCCTGTTTCCAGATGACATCTTTCGGGGTAGATCGGGAAATAATCATGCCTGGTTTTTCACCAACTTTTACTGTCCAGGGCCAAGTTTACCACAGGATCGGTTCTTTGCTTCCCGCGGCCAATGAACAACATAAATTTCTTCAGATATATTTCATGGGAGATGAAGATAATGAAGCGGATCGGCGATGTCAGTACATTCAAGGAGTTGAGAGGGAGGTCGTAGTAGAAATCCAAAGAATGTTGCATGAGCATAATCAACTTATCAATACGTTTAAAACGGCTTTAGACCGCATGCCTCACGAACAGTACAAATTGGTTATTCATGCCGATCGCACTCCGCACGGAGAACACGAGAGACGATTCAATGCGCCTCTCATCAATGATATTGCTGCAGTGGTTTGTGGTGACTTTTCTTCATCACGCGACATCGTCCTCCGTGCGCATGATAATACTTTGACACGCGTACCCGATACTCACAAGTTCTATGACGCCCTTCAGTATCCCTTGATTTTCAGCAAAGGCCAGGAAGGTTACCATTTTGACCTGCCATTAATCAACCCAACTACAGGTCAACCCATGGCTAATAAAAAAGTATCCTGCATGAATTTTTATGCTTATCATATGATGTTGCGTGAGAATGGTTTTAACTTGCTGCCCCGTTTTAAGCAACTTTTCCATCAGTTTTTAGTGGACATGTGGGTTAAAACAGAGAGCGAGCGCCTCCGTTATATAACTCTGAACCAAAAGAAATTACGAGCTGAACAATACATTCACCTGCAAGATGCAGTAAGTAACGATGCCAATGTAAATCCCAGGGATTTAGGAAAGATGGTCATTCTCCCATCAACTTTTATCAATAGCCCGCGATATTTACATGAATATACGCAAGATGCTTTTGCATACGTACGTGCTCACGGCCGTCCTGATCTCTTTGTTACATTCACCTGTAACCCATCTTGGAAGGAGATAACAAATGAATTAATGCCAGGTCAGAAACCAATTGACAGACACGACTTGATAGCTAGAGTATTCAGATTAAAAGTACAGAAACTTATGGGTGTCATTACCAAAGGTAAAGTATTTGGCGACGTGCAATGTTATATGTACTCCATCGAATGGCAGAAAAGGGGGCTGCCCCATGTTCACATTTTGATTTGGCTCAAGGAGAAACTGCGACCTACACACATTGACAATCTGATTAACGCTGAAATTCCTGATCCTACAGGAGATAAGGAGTTGCACGACACTCTAGTTAAAAACATGATACATGGTCCCTGTGGCACACGTAACCCTACGTCACCGTGTATGAAGGAGGGAAAATGCACAAAAAAGTACCCACGCTCACTTATAAAAGACACTATCCACAATGAACAGGGTTATCCGTTATACAGAAGAAGATCACCTGAAGACGGAGGCCGAACGGTTACTATCAAAACCCGCAGCGGAGCTTTTGAAATTATGGACAATAGTTGGATTAGACCGTACTCGCCAATTTTATGTAAAATATTTAATGCCCATATAAATGTAGAGGCCTGCGGTTCCGTGCGCGCAATAAAATATATTTGTAAATATATTAACAAAGGAACCGATCAAGCCGTGTTCAATTTTATACAGGAAGCTGGATCATCTGTCATAAACGAAGTGCAGGCTTTCCAACAGGGGCGTTATGTGAGCAGCAATGAGGCAGCATGGCGACTTTTCGGATTCCCATTACATGAAAGGCACCCAACTGTCATTCATTTG